CTCATATAGACTGTGTAAACAAGCAGGTGTTTCTATTCTCACCTCAGATAAAATAGACTTCAAATCAAATCAGAAGAGACAAAGAAGGACATTTCATACTTCTTAAAGGAAGTATATATATATATGCAATTATAAATATTTATGCCCCAAACAATGGAGCACCTATGTACATCAAACAAACCCTTCTCAATTTCAAGAGTCAAACAGACCCAATACAATAATACTGGGTGATTTTAACACACCTCTCTCATTACTAGACAGATCTTCCAAACAAAAATTAAATAAGAAAACAGTAGAACTAAATAATACAATCAATAATTTAGACTTAACAGACATATATAGAATATTTCATGCATCAACGAGAAAATATACTTTCTTCTTAGCAGCACATGGCTCCTTCTCTAAAATAGATCATATATTATTCCACAAAGCAACTTCTGGTAAATACAAAAAAAAAAAAAACAGAGATAATACCCTGCATTTTGTCAGACCACAATGAAATGAAATTAGAAACCAATGATGAAATAAAAAATCGAAGCTACTGTAACAAATAGAGACTAAATAATGCACAACTGAATAATGAATAAATAGTAGAAGAAATCATGGATGAAATTTTAAAAATTCTTAGAGGTAAATAAGAACACTGATACAACATATCAAAATCTCTGAACACTATGAAGACAGTACTAAGAGGAAAGTTTATTGTATTGAGTGCATGCATTAGGAGAATAAAAAAGTCTGGGCTAGGGTGTAGCTCATTGGTAGAGAGCCCGCCTCACATAGGTGAGGCACTGAGTTCGATCCTCAGCACCACATAAAAATAAAGAAAGATACTGTGTCCAACTACAACTAAAAAAATATTTTTAAAAAAAAAGAATAAAAAGTCAATAAGTAATGACCTAACACTACATCTCAAAGACCTAAAAAAAGAAGAATAAATCAACACCAAAAGCAGTAATAGACAGGAAATAATCAAAACCAGAACTGAAATCAAATCAAAACAAAAGGAAAAACTGAAAATATTGACAAAACAAAAAGTTGGTTCTTTGAAAAAATAAATAAAATAGATAACCCCCTGGCCATGTTAATGAAGAGAAAAAGAAAGAAAACTCAAATTACTAAAATACAAGATAAAGAAGGAAATATCACAAGGGACAAGTCTGAAATACAGAAGATAATTAGAAACTGTGTGAAAATTTATACTCTAATAAAATAGAAAATATCAGAGAAATCAACAAATTTCTAGACATATGACCTACCCAAACTGAATGAGGTCATACATGATTTAAACAGATCAATTTCAAGTAGTGAAATAGAAAAAGCCATCAAAAGCCTACCAACCAAGAAAAGGCCAGGACCAGATGGATTCTCAGCCGAGTTCTACAAGACTTTCAAAAGAAGAATTAAAACCAATACTCCTCAAAAGTATTCCATGAAATAGAAAAGGAGGGAACCATTCCAAACTCATTTTATGAGGCTAATATGACCCTGATACCAAAATCAGACAAAGACACATCAAGGAAAGAAAACTTCAGACCAATATCCCTGATAAACATAAATGCAAAAACTCTCAATAAAATTCTGGCAAACTGCATACAAATCATATTAAAAAGATAGTGCACCCCAATCAAGTGGTGCATGACTGGTTCAACATACGGAAATCAATCAATGTAATTCATCATATTAATAGACTTAAAAATAAGAATCATATGATCATCTCAATAGATGCAGAAAAAGGATTTGACAAAATACAGTAAAAACACTAGAAAAACTAGGGATAGTAGGAACACACCACAACATTGTAAAAGCTATATATGCTAAACCCAAGGCCAGCATCATTCTAAATGGAAGAAAAACTGAAAGCATTCCTGCTAAAAACTGGAACAAGACAAGGATGACTTCTTTCACCACTTCTATTCAACATCATTCTTGAAACTAGCTAGAACAATTAGACAAAAGAAAGAAATTAAAGGGATACAAATAAGTAAAGGAGAACTCAAACTATCACTATTTGCTGATGACATGATTCTGTATCTAGAAGATCAAAAAATTCCACCAGAAAATTTCTAGAATAAATAAATTCAGCAAAGTAGCAGGATATAAAATCAACACCCATAAATCAAACACATTCCTATATATCAGTGATGAATCCACTGAAGGAGAAATTAGGAATAAACAAACAAACAAACAACAACAACAACAAAAAAAAAAACCCTGAGAATCATTCTAAAAAAAGAGGTGAAAGATCTCTACAATGAAAACTACAGAACCCTAAAGAATTTGAAGAAAACTTCAGAAGATGGAAAGATCTCCATGTTCCTGGATAGGCAGAATCAATATTGTCAAAATGGTCATACTACCAAAAGCATTACACAGATTTAATGCAATTCCTACTAAAATCCCAATGACATTCTTCATAGAAACAGAAATGGCAATCATGAAATTTATTCGAAAAAATAAGAGACCCAAAATAGCTAAAGCCATCCTTAGCAAGAAAAGTAAAGCAGGAGGCATCACAATACCAGACCTTAAACTATACTACAGAGCATTAGTAACAAAAACAGCATGGTATTGGCACCAAAATAGACTTGGTACATAATAGAGGACACAGAGACAAACCCACATGAATATGGTTATCTATCTCATATTAGACAAGGGTGCCAAAAACATTCACTGGAGAAAAGATAGTGACTTCAAAAAATGGTGCTGGCAAAAACTAGAAATTCGTATGTAGCAGAATGAAATTAAACCTCTATATCTCACCCTGCACAAAAATCAACTCAAAGTGGATCAAAGACTTAGGCACTAGAACAGAGACCCTGCACCTAATAAAAGAAAAAATAGACCCAAATTTTCACGTAAGCCTAACATTTGACTTCCTTAACAAGACTCCCAACGCTCAAGAAACAAAATCAAGAATCTATAAATGGATGGATTCAAATTAAAAAGCTTCTTCTCAGCAAAGGAAACAATTGATAACGTGAGGACAGATTGGGAGAAAATCTTCACTACATGCACCTCTGATAAAGCATTAATCTCTAGGATATATAAATACCTCAAAAAACCTAACACCAAAAAACCAAATAACCCAATCAATAAATGGGCTAAGGAACTCAACAGACACTTCAAAGAAGAAATACAACTGATCAACAAATATATGAAAAAATGTCCAGTATCACTAGCTATTAGAGAAATGCAAATCAAAACTACTCTAAGATTTCATCTCTCTACCATCAGAATGGCAATCATCAAGAATACAGGCAACAATAAATGTTGGCAAGGATGTGGTGAAAAAGATACACTCATACATTGCTGGTGGGACAGAAAACAATGTGGAGATTCCTTAGAAAGCTTGGAACGGAACCACCATTTTAAGTCCTTTGAGTATAAAGTCCTTTATACTCAAAGGACTTAAAATCAGCAAACTACAGTAATTCAGCCACGTCAATGTTTATAGCAGCTCAATTCACAACAGCTAAACTATGGAACCAACATAGGTATCCCTCAATAGATGAATGGATAAAGAAAATGTGGTATATACACTTAATGGAATATTATCCAGTTTTAAAGAAGAGTGAAATTATGGCATTTGCCAGTAAATGGATGGAGTTAGAGAATATCCTGCTAAGCAAAATAAGCCAATCTCACAAAACCAAAGGCCAAATGCTTTCTCTAACATGTGGATGCTAATTCACAATAAGGTAGGGGCTAGGGAAGAACAGTTTTACTTTAGATTAGGTAGAGGGAAGTGATGGGAGGGGAGGGGATATGAGGATAGGAAAGACAGTAGAATGAAACAGACATTATTACTTTATGTATATATGTGACTACCTGACCAATATGATTCTGCAACATGTACTCTTAGAAAAATGAGAAATTATAACCCATCTATGTATGACATATCAAAATGCATAAATGCATTCTACTGTCATGTAAAACTAATTAAAACAAATAAAAAATTTTTGTTATGAATATTTTACAATAATAATGTAAGGTACCTAGCCCACTCTCAGTAGGTACTCAAGAAATGCTAGACCCATTCCCTTTATAAGGAATTCAGGGATAGGGTGAAGGAGACAGGAAAAATAAAATAAACTAAGATCCTTTCCCTGTTTTATTGTGAAAGGCTTTGAGTCTCAGGCAGAGCCCAGCTGGTCCTAATACCAGGCAGGACCACATTAAGTGTCTCAGAAGGAAGGAGAAAGGAATCTGAGTTAGTTATAATCCCTGCAGCATGTTCTGTTCCCACTCCACCTCCACCTGGGTATGGCAAACCCTAGAATATCAACCCTCCAGCCCCCAACACCCTGCCCCCCCCCCAAAAAAACTAGATACTTAAACCTCAAGGTCATGAGAACAAAAGGATATTCAGTGACAGCTGGCTTCCGTACATGGGGGAGAAACAAGACTTCAGTATTGAACACCAACTGGATGGGTCCTGTATCCTGTTCCAGTCCCAAGCGTTATGCTGATCAGTATCTCAAATGCCTTCAGTTGGATTTATATGCACAGGGGATAGAAATCTCAAAAGTCAAGTAAACAAATATTAAAAATGCACTTCTCCACAGTTATAATTAATGATTATGTATTGTTAAGTCATAAAATAAGAGGGAAAACATGACATATCTACAAGAATATCAAAATACTGATTTTGATGGGTAGGCTTAATTAGATCTTTTTTTTGGTGGGGGAAGATAGCAAGAAATGAACTCAAGGGCACTTGACCACTGAGCCACATCCCCAGCTCTATTTTGTATTCTATTTAGAGACAGGGTCTCACTGAGTTGCTTAGCACCTCACCTTTGCTGAGGCTGGCTTTGAACTCACAATCCTCCTGCCTCATCCTCCCTAGGATTATAGGCGTGTGCCACCATGCCTGGCTTTAATTAGACCTTAATGTAATGTTCACAGAGATGATCATTAACATTCCTCAAATGTAGCTAAAGGAGAATAAAATGCTTGGGGTACCAACATCCAATCAATTTTAAAACAATACTTACTTTAGGATCTGAGCTCTTGAACTTTAACCTTTCCACCAATTCTATCATGGCTGCCTTCAGTCCTCCTGAGTCTTTGCTCTAGAAGAAAGAAAAGTCAAGGGTCACTAGAGAGCATTTTGTTTTTCTCTTAAACAGAATTTCAGAGGACAATGAAATGGAAAGCAATTTTTTCTTCTTATCATCCAAGAGAACTGAACAACTTAGGGAGACCTGCACTGCACTGACCCCTTCCCCTTCTCTACAGACAAAGAGGGTTAGGACATAAATTGGCCAGTGACCTGAAAGAACTACTGGAATGAAAATTAAATGCAATTTGTACAGGCTGACTCACTGCTTCATCTCAGACTCAACTGTGCTGGTGTTCACTGAAGGCCAAAGCCCTGCAAAGATGCAAAGAAATTTGCATCTTATGGCCTACTGATTTTTATTTTAAATTTTTATGTATCAGTGACAGAACTATGCAATATTAAATATTCTTATAAAAATAAAAGTGATGAAAACCATCCAAGATTTAACAGAAAACAGAATTACAATGTGCTGGTTAAGAGTACAAGGTTTTTGAGATAGACAAATAGAGTTTCAAATCTGAGGTCTATCGATGACTAATCAAAGAAAATTACTGAATTTCTCAAAATCTTCTAAAAAACTGGAGAAAATAAATAGGTCATTATGAGGTTTAATTGAAACAGTGTTTGCACAGTGTGTGGCACATAGTAAATGCTCCAAATGTCACCTGTTGTTATTACAGTGTAATGATTTATAGCAGTACAGTCCAACAGAAATGTAACAAGAACCCTCACAGGTAAGCCTGTATATAATTTAAATTTTCTTGTGGCTACAATAAAAAAGTGAAAGTAATTTTAATGTATTTAATGTAACTCAGTATGTCTAAAATATTACCATTTGCACTATGTAATTTCAATATATTACATTTTTTTCCCACACTAAATCTTTGAAACCTTTTGTTTTTTCATACCTATAGCCCAATTCAATTTGGGCCACATTTCAAGCACTCCAAAGCCACACAAGGCTAGTGACTATCATGTTGGTCAACCCAAACTTAGAGTTCAGACTGTACAACCATATTGCCAGATTCAAATCTCAACTAGCTGTGTGATCTTAGGCACATCACTTAGCTTCCTTGTGTCTGTATTTTTTTAATCTATAAATTGGAACTAACTATAGTAGTACCTATTTCATAGGTATGTAGTAAGATTAAATAGTTAATATGTCAAGATTCACAGAACAGGGCCTAGCACAGGGTAAACACAATAGGAGTATGAGATAGTTTTATTATTACTCTTTGTCTCTCTCTTGTTTTAAAAGTTCTTTATAGGTAAGAACTACATCTTTTATATCTCTGTGTCTCCTGTGCCCAGCATAAGAAGGCATTGTAAAAAGCCTGCTGCACAAATGAACAAACTTAACCTTAAGACATGAATGTGCATTAATGATAACATGTGTACACACGTGCGTTATTATCTGCAAATTTAAGAACTACTTTATTTTCTTATCTCAACAATTCTGTTGCACAGGGTATGACCATTCATTTTACCAGTGAAGAAATGAAGGCATAAAGAAGTAAGAAGAGTCAGGTGTGGTGACACACATCTGTAATCCCAGCTACTTGGGAGGCTAAAGCAGGAGGATTCCAAACTCAAGCTTGCAAATTTAGCAAGAGCCTGTCTTAAACGAAAAAAATGAAAAGGGCTGAGGATGTAGCTCAGTGGCAAATGCTCCTGAGCTTAATCCCCAACCACTGAAAAAAGGGTTTTTTACCCCACTGAAAAAAGGGTTAGGGGGAAGGTGGGCTGGATATGTAACTGAAAGTTAGAAACACTTGCCTAATTTGTGCAAGGCCTTTGGTTTGATCTGGGGTACCACAAAAAAAAAAAAAAAAGATTTACTGTCATTTTTATAGGGGAAGGGATGATAATAAACAAACACTACAACTATCTCTTACTCAAAATTGGCCTCTAGATCAGTGAGGAGATATATAGAACTAATTTCAGTTGCTCCAAAACAGGAAATACTTAGTAAGAACCACTGAAAGGATTAAAATACATTAAATGTTAAATCTTTCCCCTCCCAATCTACTCCTTCTCCCAAGTCTACATATGAAAGCAAAAGTCAAATGTAACATGACTATGACCAATATCTGCTTATGCTTTCTGAAAGATCATATTTCTATGCTAACTATGGTTCTACACTGTACTAATTTCTACTTTTTAAAATGATTGTAGAAATTAGGGGAGTTATAAACAATCTTCAATCTCTATGGTCTCAGAAAAAGACAGCTGGGAAAAGGAATCTAGAGGTCACATATGAGGGAGTGAGAGAGATCTGAAGTACCTAAAAAAGGGTTAAGTTGTCAGACAATCCTGCTTTTACCAGATGATCAGACAATAAAGCCTGTCTAGTGATATCATTCCTCTACTCTGCTTCTCATTGGTTGAACAAGCAGGTCATTTGTCCCTGGAAAGCTCTCTTTCACCCCATCCCAGCTGCCAGCACCCATTTTAAGCTCTTCAGCAAAAGTCTAATGTGTTATGACTTTCCCCATGGCTCTAAAAACAGAAAGGAATGTAGCAAACTGGGCCTTGAACCTTTCAGCAAAACAGAACTATGGAAGGAATTCCTAAGAAGCAGACAGTCTGTTTGCAGGCAGATGTGCCTTGTACAGAAAGATAAGGGAGCCCTTCACCTTCTTTCATAAAAATGCAGAGTGTCAGCAGAATCCTTCCTCCTTCACACAAAGCACAGGCAGCTTGCCTTCACCTAGGGACAGGCGGCGGCACCTGAAGAGAACAGAGCCTCCAATCAGGAAATTCACCCATTGGCCTCTCCAGCTGACTCTCTGAGAATTATCCTCAAAGATTAATTGGGCTCTATGTTGAGAATGCTATACTCAGCCTCTAAATGAGTGGTGAAGAAAACCTTCCCCAATGGCTTAAAAAAAAAACAAACACACACACACACACACACACACACACACACACACACACACAAACACAAAGCAGCTGGTCAAAAGAGAAAGGCTCTTCTGGGCAGACCTGACCCTGACAGCTGCAGAGCTGGTATGGAGGATGCTGGTCCAAATCCTCCCCACCCAAACCCCTGCTTTCTTCCATTCTCCAGTCCCTTCCTGTACCCCAAGGAGCCTTGTACACAGGTGTTCAAGCTACTTACTGTCCAAGCTCTGAGAAGACACCTCTCAAACAGTCCCTTTAGCCACACATGAAACCTAGGGATACATATATACCAGGGGTGGGATTCAATGCCTTTGGTCCATCTGCAAGCAGAGGAACTCAGGAACTGAGTCTCCATAGGACAACAGAGCAGGCTCAGGACATTTTATAGGATAATTTTTGGATCCTGGGCACTCAGGTAACAGGAAGGTGATGGGCATAGTCAAAGGAGGGGACTTCAAAAGCATGGAACACAGAACATGGGTCTATCTAGGTCTGAAGGTGGCATCTGAGTATGAGTATCAATCTTGAGGCAAGCATTATGACTAGAGAAGAAGTGGGACTTTCCTGATATCCACACTGCACCTTCATCCACCAATGCATTCCAACAACACAGTTCAATGTGAACATATCTTGTTTATGTTCTATTTTCTTTCCCCAAAAAAGTACAGAATAAAGAGACAAGCACCATGCTGTGACACCTACCCCTGAGGAATTGATCAATTTGTGGAAGTGTAAAAGGCTTCACAAAAGCCAGCTTCTAGAAGTGAGTCATGATAAAAAAAAATACTTTACATACTAAGTTATTTTTTATTCTCTGAAACATATTCATATGCTCTTTCATTGGCATTTCACAGTAACTCTAAAAGATAGTGTATTCTCACTTTACAGCTGAGAATAATATCTGGTAGAAATAAAATGAGGATCCCCAAAATAACAGAGCTCATACACTCTTTAAGTAGCATTTCATGATAACACAATAAAAGGAGATAATGAATTCTCAATTGTTCCCCCAAATAAAAGCAACAAAACCAGGATCAGAACGATGAAAAATTAAAAAATTTATAACATGTACAACAGAAGAGATTAATCAAGAATATTAAAAGAATTCCTGTAAATTAATAAGAAAAAGACAATTAAACCCCAAAGAAATCCCAACAAAAGGGCATAGACATAGAAGAAATGTAAAATGGTTAATAAATACATCCAAAGATGTTTAAACTTACTCATAATTAAGATATCATTTCTTACCCATCAGACTGAAAAAAAAATTTAATCTAATAACAGCAAGTGTTAAGGGGCTTAAGGTAAACTGGGGGCTTCCATATATTGCTGACTAAAGTGTAAAATGGAAATGCTACACTGAAGTCACATGCCTAGCAAGTCCACTTTTCCTTTCCTCTTAAGAAACTTTGATTCATCTCTCAAGGAGGCATGCACAAAGATATTTATTGCAACATTACTTGTAATACCGAAAACTGTAAACACCCTAAGCATTCATACATAGAGAAAGGCTAAATAAACTATGTAATTAACAAACTAAGGAATACCTTATAGAAAATAAAAGGAATAAAGTAGATCCATACATACAGCAAGACATAGTGTAAAATTAAAAAAGAAAAAAATTGTAAAATAATATATATAATAATAAGTACATATGTTCTATAGGTGATGTAAGTATGTAAAAGAAAAGTAATAACTACTGGGATTGGTATTAGGGATGACAGAAGAAGGGTTTTAGATTTAGTTCCATGTATTTGTGTCAGTTGCAGGACTTCCTGTCTAGGAGGAACAAGAATGGAATCTAGGCTTATCTCAGGATGTTACATTTCCAGCACTTTCTACAGTTAACTCTGAGAACTTAGCAAGAAAGAGGGAAAAAGTCAGGTCACCAAGGCTATTCTTGTGCCTCCTAGACAGGAAGTCCTACAACTCTTCAGCCAAGTGAGTCAAGCTTCCCCCAGGTATAAAACCCCAGATGGCATGTGATCTAAGGGTCTCAGCTTTAGTATAGAATCAGGCATATGTAGATGAGATTCTATGCCTCCTGGGTTACTCCTGAGCCTTGCAAAACCAGCTTCCACCTGGCAAATTACAAGCCTTCAATAA